AGAGAGGAGTCGAGGAGGGGTATTGGGATGAGGCTACTGTCTTTTGCCTTTTATCTTTCCTTGCTCAAGAAACATTTAAGATTATACAAAGTCCTCCCTTTTCCCCTTAAGTGCTAAGGTGCTTTGTGAAAAACCTTTGTCTTCACCAGGATCTAGTTTGAACTGTATTCCTAACTCTTTGTTCTCTGAAGCTTTGTGAAATACAGCCTGACGTCGATGACAGGAAAATACTTTTAAGAGACGATTTCAGGATCTACTTTTGGTCATTGTGCATTAAGGCAGTCTCCCCTCTCTCCATCCTTATCTGCTCTCCTCTCTCTCTTTCCTTATCTCCTCTCCCCTTGGATTACACGCTCCAAGGTCACTCTGCAGGATATCTACTGTCTGCCCATTCAGACTGCAAATCAATGCTCTCAAGTGTCAGAGAAGTGTGTGTGTGTGTGTGTGTGTGTGTGTGTGTGTGTGTGTGTGTGTGTGTGTGTGTGTGTGTGTGTGTGTGTGTGTGTGTGTGTGTGTGTGTGTGACTTCTGCTTATGGAATAAAAACTAAGCTGAACTAGAGTTGTTGTTTTTACGTACGGATATATTTTTATCACAAGTGTTAATTTCCTGAAAATCTACGGAAAACAATCACGGTTTTGTTTCCTTTTTGGAATAAATTCATATCCACTGATCATTTATAACCAATGTTGGCACACCATGTATTATGAAGAGAACAACAAATGCAGCACAGTAGCGCCCACACTTTGGATTTCATCAATTCAAATGTTTTCTAAAATAAGAAAGACAATGATTTTGGCGTGTCCTCGGTATCTGCAGATAAAGGCTTCAAATGAAACGTATCCTCCGTTATTACACGCTAACTCCTTACATGTATATAAACATGGCGTGTTAACATGCAGTGTACTCTCTCTGCATATTAACGGTAATAATAAAATGTTAATTACACGACAAAAAACTTGATTTCCTCTTCAATCAGGTGCCCAAAAAAGTATGTACGGGTATCGGCATTGAAGATATGCAAAAATAACCTTTTCAAAATATTGGCAAAATCCCGATATCTTTGAATGAATGCTTTTGTCAGTGCAAATACATTTTAGTTTGTGCTTTCTGCAACTACAACGTGGCAGAAACATGATCCAAGAAGCACCCAGACTGAACAGATGGCGTGTTAGATAGTAACACACGGGTCAGAAACAGTTTGTCAGGATTATAAACAAGCGTATAGAGGTGATTATTGTATTTGTTTTTTAAATGGATATGAAAGTCTTGGCAGGCGTGGATTTACTAAAAGGAAAAGTCAGCGCTTGATGTAAGTGAAAATTCAAATCCACTTTTTACTCAAAGTGTAGGGAATTACTTTAGTCATTGTTTGTTTGTGTTTTTTTGTAATGATGTGTTCTCTTTGTACATACAATCAGTACACACCATTGTCTCATTGTTATGCATATATTTTGCTTTCCACTTCTAAATGACAAACATTATTTATGTATTGTCGAAATGCAATAAAATGAGTTTTGAGTTACTGAGCGAGTACCGTGTACTTAATTGTATTTGTAAGCACCGTGAACACAGTTACAGAAGCAGTTTCCATTAAGGGGCAATAGTTCAGGTAATCATTAAAAGTACATCTTACTAATCTTAATATCCATGTAAAGCAATCAAGAACGATCATGCATGGCAATACAAAAAAAAGCTTTGGTTCGACTTCTGATGGGGTTGTCCTGAAGGAAGAAATATATTTTGGAATAAATCAATGAACACTGATATCCGCTTATCATTTACAACCAATGTGGGCAAACATTTGATTATGAAGAGGAAAATACAGGATCAAGAAATGCAGCACTTTATGACGTTCCGAAATCACTAAGGATTTCATTAATACTCATTTTATTTAAAGTGGACCTATCATGCTATATTTGAATAATATAGTGTAGGAACATACCTATATAAGGCATATTCATACTTTTTATTTTTCAAAATACCAAACAGATCATGCATTTTAGCCATTCCTCATTTCGCTCAATTTAACACTGTCTTTGCATCATGGGCTGATTCTGTGAGAACAGCACCATCTACAGGCCTGGCATATGTACTACAGCGTCTCCAGCGCTTTCCAACGGCAATGTCCGTGGCTGTCTCCTCCTGATTGGTGGAGTTGGCCCAATAGCCGTAGCACCACTTCTGTGACGTCATAGAAGTGTTCAAATCTGGATCAGTCTGTATCAGATCCGTTGCAGCCCCTTTTTAAGAGATTTGGGTATGGAGGAAAATAGAGAGGGTTGTGTTTTCTGACACTTGGTGAGTTCCCTGGAACACCGGGGACACATGTTCATGTATACAAGACGTACTAAAGTGCATTTTGCATGATAGGTCCCCTTTAAATAAGAAGGGATGCACATGGATGTTGGCATGTCCTCAGTGGAAATGAAACGTATCCTCTGTTATCACATGCCAATTCCTTCCATGAAAAGAATGCAGTGTTTCACGTACATTGTACTGTATGTCTGCATCATGATGATAATGTTCTTATGCTTTTCTCTCAGATTCCACCTTTTTCCCCGGCCGCTGCGCCGAGATCTTCGTCGGTGGGAAGAGCGTTGGACGTCTCGGAGTTCTTCACCCGGACGTCATCACCCGCTTCGAGCTCACGATGCCCTGCTCCGCCGTGGAGATGGACATCGAGCCCTTCCTGTGATTTAAACCTTCTTAACTCTAAACCCCCTACCCAAAATAGCACAACATACCCCCCTATTCTCTGACAAGAACAGAAAGCACGAAGGAAAATCAGGCTCGACATTTGTTAAAAAGATAACACATGTTTGGATGTTGTGGTGGACGTTGGCTGCATGTGCTGCATGGTGTTTTTTACATCAGAAGAATAGAAAATGGACATCGAGCCCTTCCTAATCTCAAACCCCCTACCCAAAATAATACATCATACCCCCCTGTTCTCTGACAAAAACAAGAAACAACAATCAGGCTTGAAATCTGTTAAAAAGATACAAGGATGTTGTGTTTGTGCTGCATCGTGTTAAAAACACATCAGAAGAATTCAAAATGGACGTGGAGCCCTTCCTGTGATTTCCCCTTCTTAATCTTAAACCCCCTACCCAAAATATATATAACATACCCCCCTATTCTCTGACAAAAATGAGAAACAATAAGGAAAATCAGGCTTGAAATTTGTTAAAAAGATAACACATGTTTGGATTTTGTGCTGCATCGTGTTTTTACATCAGAAGAATTAAAAATTAACAAGAAGTCTTTTGTGTTTTTGATGGAAATGCTGTGTGTGTGTGTGTGTGTGTGTGTGTGTGTGGATCTCAGTGACTCATTGCTCCCTTGGTTCTTCCAGTGGCCACCCTGCAGAAACCACGCTCACACACGACGTCCCGCTGCACGAAGTCATCAAACACCACATCCCGTCGCAAGTTCCCAACTCCCGTCCAACTTCTACCAAGACGGTGTTCGGCGACGTGAGTTCTGCTGCCGGTCTGAAGGCTCTCGATGATTTTCTGGCGGATAAAAGCTACATGGAGGGTTTTGAGCCGACTCAAGCCGACACGGCGATGTTCGACGCCATCCCATCCGCCCCGTCTTCGACTTTTCCCCACCTTTTACGCTGGTACAACCACGTCAAGTCCTTCCTGAGGGAACGAGCCAACCTCCCGTCCGCTAAAAGTCAATTCGTCCTCGATGATGAAGAAGACGATGATGATGACATTGATCTTTTTGGCTCGGACGACGAAGAAGATAGCGCCGAAGTGGAGAAACTTAAAGAGCAGCGTCTCGCCGAATACGCCGCTAAGAAATCCAAGAAACCAGCTCTCATCGCCAAGTCGTCCATCTTGTTGGACGTGAAGCCGTGGGACGACGAGACGGACATGGCGAAGGTGGAGGAGTGTGTGCGCAGCGTCAAAATGGAGGGGCTTCTGTGGGGGCAATCCAAGATGGTGCCCGTGGGATACGGCATCCAGAAGCTGCAGATAGGGTGCGTGGTGGAGGACGAGAAAGTGGGCACGGATCTGCTGGAGGAAGCCATCACCGCCTTCGAGGAGTACGTTCAGAGTGTGGACGTGGCCGCCTTCAACAAGGTCTGACTCATCGTGGAGACGCAGAATCATGAAGTGAAAAGAAACACAACGTTCAAGCATCCCATTTAAATAAAGCTTTAACTCAGTGGTTCCATCTGATGTCTAGATGTAGGTGATAATGAAACACAATGCTCAAGTCCTTCTGAAAAGACTGTTGACCCTTTAATACAAAGTACTAAGCATGTTTTCCTTTTAACTTCCAATAAAGCCATTCTAACTTTTCACTTTCCAGCTTTGATCCTTTGTTTCTAGTCCATCTTTTTATCAGAGCAAACATTAGGTAGGACATTTTAAACCATTAAGGGCAATTTCTTAACATCTTGGGAATTCCATCCTGAGATTTCTTGGTGCTGCCCTTTGCCCCCCTTAGTGTCTGACATTACTGTGCATGCAACATTAGATTGAATGTATTGACTCTTTCATTCAAGGCAAGTTACAATAAGTGGAATCAACCTTAAAGTTCCCATGTCATGCTTTTCTGGTTATTCCCCGTCCCCTTGTGTGTTATGAAGGTTTTTCTGCATGTAAACGGTCTGCAGAGTCACAAACCCTCAAAGTGCACCCGGTAGCGAGTAAAACTCTAACACAGAGAAGACCTGTCTATGCTGCCCCAGAACGCCTCGTTGGACATTTCTCTGTTTCCATTGTTTACTTCTTGGGTATAGTGACGTAACGTAACGGCCGCGGAGCCGTTACGTTACCAGGGCTCTCAAGTTTTGAACAGAGTTCAGAGTGAGATTTTGGCAGCACTGTTTGGTACTCCAACTTCTGGCTCCCCTCAAAGTTCCCATGAAGCCCTCTGTATCGTGAATGTCAGGGGGGGGGGGAGTGCACGCGTCTCAAACAAGCCTAGTTTGTTTACAAAATTGCGGCGCAACTTGGTGGGCGGTATCCTGGAAAGAAATCTCAGCGTGAGAAAATCTCTGCGTGAGAAATACAAGGTGTGGCGTGTGAGCGTGTGAATGGAGTGAAATGCGTGTGTCTCACGCCAAATGCGTGAGACTTGAGAGCTCTGA